AGAGGGGGGGGGCAATAACATACCATAGGTGACTCACATAAAAACATTTGAACACCAACACAATATATGGTCATCCAGGGTTGAGAAAAAAACAGAAGAACAAAGGGGAGAGAAGTAGAACTACCAGTGGAGGTCAAGAATTACCTACTCGAAACAATACATCCAAGGTGACTCACACAGACAATACATCAGAGGTGACTCACATAGACAATACATCCAAAGTGACTCACACAGACAATACATCCACAGTGACTCACACAGACAATACATCCAAGGTGACTCACACAGACAATACATCCAAGGTGACTCACACAGAAAATACATCCAAGGTGACTCACACAGACAATACATCCAAAGTGACTCACACAGACAATACATCCAAAGTGACTCACACAGACAATACATCCAAAGTGACTCACATAACAACATCCCACATGAGACTCACTAAACTCAACTTCATGGCTCACCTACAAGCATGTCATACATGACCCACACAGCACCTGCAACAGTACTCACCTATAAGCATCTCATACATGATGACTCCTAGAGACCACCAATCACAGGAGCTGGAGTAACCAGTTTGCATAAACACTTCAGGAGCAATGTAGTCGGGCGTGCCAACGGTCGAATAGGCCTGGAGACCAATCAGTTTTAGTTTAGTTTTAGTAAGTGTTTTACAGCACTTGCAACATAATGAAGTCATATAAGAGCCGAAGATTAGAGGTGTTACAAGAGAGTAAAAAAACACAAAAAAGAAGGAGGGGAGATAAAGACAATAGATGTTAGACAGGAAAGAAGAAGCAAACCACACCAGAGCACCCGCCAACAGAGGTACTTTGAGTTTTGACCAACCCAATAAAAGTCATATTGTGCAGGGAAGAAGCTAAACATAGACAGACACAACAGAGAGAGACAGAAGGCATAGGACTTACCAGCGGTGCCCTCCAATGACCCATAAAGAGAGGTACATGGACCCAGTAAGGGTCATTCAGAGTAGGAAAAAGGCAAGACAGACGGAAACAACAGAGGGAAAGAAAAGAGATGGGACTTACTAGTGGCGCCCTCCAACCACCCTCTCATACTTCAGCCGAGCCAACATGGGCCTCACAGAGGAATGTACATACACTACAGTAGTTGGGTACAGATAACATGAACACGGAAAACTAAAAATCACGGATATCTTTTTAATTTTTCTTTTATTGGTTTACCTGAACAACGGATGTGTAGAACACACATACAATAATTCTTGGCAGCTCATCACTTTCCTTTTCAAAAATACAAAATCGAAAACCCCCCAAAACAAAGCAAAAAAATGAAATCAACATTACCAGCGCTCTCCTATTTCTCTTCCAACTTTCAGCTTTTCTCTTGGAATCCATTGGATTGCCATCTGAAAAAGTAAGAACACCAGAATTAGATACGACAATCACAAACCCAGATTTCTATTTTATACCCTGTTATTGTCTTAAGTCTCATTAGTGATTCTCTTTCGTTCTTTTTAGTGAATCAAAATAAATCTAATTTTGCAAAATAATTTCACAGTCACTGTCAAAAAATTTCTGGCAATCTGTAAATGTCAGAAAATAACCTTTGTACACTGCACTGTCAAAATGTAATTTACTTTCTTACTTTTTTACACTGTTGAGAAGTAACTTGCTTGCTATGTCTTTGTACACAGTCAAAAGTGACTTTCAAGTTGTCTTTCTACACATTCAAAATGCAATCTACTTCATCATTGTACATAGTGAAAAAGTAACTTACTTTCTATGTCCTTGCTAAACTTGGAAGAGGCGAATTTCACGGTAAGGGTGTGAGAGACAACACAGGGTTTGGTTTTTAAATAAAATTCTCCTGTTGTACTGTTTGGTGTTCAATTAGTGTTGTATTGTTTGTTTATGAGCCCAGTAAACACGAGAATAAAAAACAAGTGTTGACTTCGTTTATTTTGTTTGCTATTTTGCATAACAGTGTCCCGGACGTAAGGACTTAGGACTTAATGTGTTTCCCGATGTTCGCGGGTCTGACAATTTTCGTTTTAAATGGCATATTATGCCAGATTTTCAACAAAAGAATGGCTGGAACACACAAGAAATATATTTTTCTAATGTGATAAGAACAACAAAAAAAGAAGAAATCTAGCATCAGTTTGAAAGGCACCCGACAGAGCTAAAAGATGGTCGAAAATCGCGCAAGTAAGTCCAAGATTTTGACCCGACGTGAAGTGCTAAATTTACTTCCAAAAGCTAAATAAAGGTAAGTTTTTATGCTCAGACTATGCGACATTCATTTCTACATCAGTTTTAGCTGTAATTTGTGAAAATTGAAGACATTTTAGTAGACTTGAGAGTCGTTTGTGACGCCCCGCCTCCCAGTGAGTCTCCAACATCTTACAGTCCAACTTGGCATTTCTCTGAGATTTACGAAAAATCCCAAGGACTTTCCGCGAAGCCGAGGCTAAAAACTACTTCCGTTTTGCGCTATTCTTTCATTCTTCAGCATTCTTTTCGATGACGTGGATGTTTTGTCTTGTTTTCAAAGTTCTTTTCCGTGGTAAGTCTCCAACGTCCGAGGCACACCAACATCGGAAGCCGCCACAAATCCAACCCAATTACACACTTCATTTGTCATAGGACTATCTATTATGTTTGTATCAGTGCTTCAACCAGCTGAAGCTGAAAAGTAAGGAAAATTCTGCAGGGGGTCTGGGGGCCGTAGAGGCCCCCATCAGGGTCCAGGGACAGCGTCCCGGTGGGGGTTCAGGGGG